AGCGTGCACTGCAGCGCCGAGCCAAAAGTGCACGAACAAAATCTATCATCCTAGTGTGACAATAGCGGAAAAGGGACAGCAAGCAGTGAGCGGACTCGTCCGAGACTGACCACGATCGAATCGATGGAATCGTGTGATACGCGTCCTTTCCTGGAAAATCTCTCGGAATGCGAGGCGCTAGAGCGAGCCAGCTTTGACATCATATCCCAGTGATTGCGATGTTAATGATTGAGTGGCTGTGAGAATCCTTAGATTTTCAAGCAGCTTATTCGAGCTTGATTATGACATGTAGAACTCAACACATCAACTTTTTGATCTGCTCGAGAGTCTTGATCACTGAGCCTCCTCCCCATCCACACTCTAGGGCGATGAAATTTCCGGAAGTGGTCTATAGAAGTCATAAAATTGTGCAAATGACTTGTTTATACTTGTTCAAGTATTACAGCCTTTCCAATATTATCGACAAATCAGCTACTATGCAAAAAAAAACCTCCACGGCCACGTCCTTTTTATTTCGGGATTCTTACGCCACTGTCCATAGGCTATTGCCGGACGAAGGAAACGCACGCGAACGTGGTTTTGTTTGCCGTAGAGCGCATGAAGAGCCGGGTTCACAACCGTAAAGTTACGGGAGCGCCGCGCATCTCAAAAATCGAGGAGGGCTTATCCAATGGCAGTTTCTTCAGAAATGATCGCTATTCCCCACATCGAAAAGTTGGGTCACTGATGGGTACCATCACTTTCTCGTATGCTCTCGCTTGTACAATTAAACGAAGTTTTTATGCCTACAAAATTTGAGAAGGATGACCATACTTTGAGTACCGAGCCGTTCAAGGAAAATTATATGTCAAATGATTCTACCCTAAAATCTTACAAATATGGTCTCTTTTTACCCAGATAAACCCGCCCTACAGATAGTCCTTTTTTCCATATAAATTACCATAGAATCTTTTCAGATTAGTCCAAAGACTGTCAGATAATTCAGGACTTTATCTGCAGACGGATATGATGAGAGACCCTATCGGGAGAATTTAGGGTAGTTAAACTGTCCCTATATGGAGCTCAATGTCTGTTTGCCTATCTGTCTGTCTATGGGTGTCCGTCCGTCTGCTGGCTATGTCTGTGCCAGTGGCAACCGGTGGAATTTTTTTTTTGGAAGAGGGGGGGGGGGACGACGATGATTGTGTAAACAACAAACACTTTGCAAAATCTATGGCCTTAATCGATTTATTGACTTTCTTTGGAACGGTGAAACGAGGCGTTAGGACTTTTTATATAGGGATTAGTGGACATGGATTACAAAAACACAGCTGGTAAAGAGAATAGCCTTTGGGAAGTGAGAGGGGTCAGGAAATTTTAGAAAAGTGGACAAACAAATCCCGATATAACGACATGGTATCACTAAAACGCTCGGTGTACTTGTAAGAAACAAGCCTATCAAGATCACCGAAATTTAGCCATAGGCGACATGATGTCGCATCCCCTTTCCTGAATTTATGCAAAACTTCAGCGATTCTACTTTCGTTAATCTTTCTTAGAGCTAAGGGATGAGCTGAATTTTGCTAGGTAGCCCCTGAAGATGTGAAATGACGCCTTTTCACTCGCATAAAGTTCTTGGGCGTAGTGGGAACTGCATGTAGAACATGGCCTAAGGGATTATCCTAAGCTGATTACAGTCTGTCTCAGATGCAGGTCCGGTACACTAGCTACTCGCGTTCATCGCGGCCGCTTCGATCGGGATCGCATCGCGTTCGCAACGCGTTCAGTGACTATTTTTTCTCGCCTAATTAACGGCTAAAGCTTGACTCTGAGCTTTTTCCCACTCTTAGGTCGCACTGAGTCTGAGACAAATAGGTACGTCTTGGCGTTTTTTAGGAGCAATATACCTGACACGTTCGAAAGATCCACAGTCAAGAATGCAGCTAGCGCATTTAATTTCATGAGCTGGAGTAATTTCACCTAAACAAGGCGTACACTCAAAACACCTGTTCATAAATATTAGGCTCATTTCCAACTGTAAGTGCAAAAACGACGCCTTTAAATGACTCTTAGTGAACGGATACTACTTTTTGGTCTATTTCTAATAGGAGCATTTATGTAAGACTGTTTTGAATCAGATGAGAATCGAGTTATTTGCAAACCAGTGCATCACCTCTGCTTCGCAGAGGCTCGCACTGGCCCTATTTTCTGTATGCCTTACTCATTCCCGCATAATAATGACATTGAAACTCACCGCGCTATCTAGGCTATCTCTCTATAATAAAGCGCTAGAGATGACTCATGCATGTAAGATACCCCCCCCCCCCTTCGTGGTCGCGATTCGGATGTCAACAACTTTGTCGTTATGTGCCGGTGCAGATGCACCGAGCTGTGGCTCATGATGATAGTGGCGCCTGTCTTAGATGATGTTAATCGAGAAGAAGCCTAACCAGCAAAGTGGCTTGGTAGACAAGCTAAATGCTGGAAAGGGAAGAAGGTTACTTAGTCCTGTTTTCGTTATGCATTAGATTACTATATCAGTTAGCGAGCAGCAATACCAGCTTCCGCTAGCAAGGTTTTGGAGTTTCGGAAAACATCAGTCAAAATATAGAAAGCATATTGGATGAGGTACATAAATCATTGTAAGCTGAAGGAAAGCAAGATGAAAGTCTCCAATGTTGGAATTACGAAAAATGTGGTTTGAATACCACAAAATTGAGATTTGGGGTAGAGTAGAGGAAGTTGATACGAAAGAGAGGAGGGGACAGGGGAAGTGGGCAAACTTGGAGAGATTTGCACTTTGACTCCAGCAAAGGCAAAGGTGTACGCACGTCCCCAAGCAAATCAGAGATCAAAGCTTTGAGCGTCCTGACAGGAGAAGCTGAAGAATGGTTTTTGGGATGTAGTCGAAAGGTAAATGAATACTAGCAAAACGTAGTGCAAACACTTTGATATTGCTAAATTTACATATTGATATTGGGGACATTCAAACTTTTTCAATGAAAGGAATGAGTGCCAGATTTTTCCCTGATCTCAAAGGGGCCGGGGACCTTTCCGCACGGTTTTTCGAAAAACATTCATTTGGGGGGAAAATAAGTAATAGAAAAGCGGAAAGTGCGTTGGAAGGTTGAGATTACTCTCGCCGGGTATACATGAATTTTTAGATTAGATTTAAAAATCTAATCTAAAAATTTAAAAACTCAAGAATATGAATAGTGTGGCACAATTTTGAAGAAATAAGGAATTAGGAAAATGTGAAGAACTTTTGAAGGGGACTTTTCGGAAAGAAAGCAAAATATGCTTATGCTGATAAGCCTACAGGGCGGGGGGGGGGGGGGGAGATTGAAAACAGGAATGGGGATTGCAGCACAGTGTCACAGAAGAGCTTTCAATTTTTTCCAAAAAGTTTTTCAGATGACTCAGCAGATTTGGCTATTTTAGACCCAGCAAGCTGATGTTCTAAAGCTGTGTATCTTCCATATGCCAAAATTCGGGGAGTTAAGTACAGCTCTGCTGTTATATTTCATTCACCTCAACATGTAAAACCTGTAGAAATTTCACTTATTTCCCGTTTTTGCTATTAGCAGATGTTTGCAGACACCCACTTCTTGACTAACCTTAAGAAGTGGCAATGCAAATTTCTACGCCATCCCACTTCTATGCACACACACGGCCAGACCGAAGTGCCGCGAAGCGGCACTTCGGTCTGGTCACGAATAAATCGTAAACAACTACTCATTCGTAGACGTTTTCCATGTGGGATGGTATTTTCGCGTGGATAAAATCTTTCCCAGAAGAACAGATGCAAATTCGAATAGGTTTTTGGAATTTTTATGGCTTGACAGTCGCCGTAAGGACAATAAACATAGTGGGCTACATCTCTGTGCAAAAATCTTCTCAAATGATCAGGTAAAATCTCGAAAAATTGACCGTTTACACGGCGAATGCTTTTTGGCGCTGTTTTCGTAAAGTAGTAGGCTTTTCATTACTTTTTTAGGCTAACGTTCATGGCTTGCACAATAGCTTGTCAAATATATCCTTAACTCTGCAAAAAGTAGTACTACGGACCGAAATTTGCTGGCCAGAAGCCAAGTGGATCCGTTTGACGCGCAATTTTCAATGGATCCACTCAACGGATCCGCTCATGCTTTCGCATAGTGAGCTTTCATGCTGGTAGCGTGCGCTGTGCAAAATTTGGGGTGGAGGACATTAGGTCGCCGAATTTGGGAGAGTCCCGCGCGGATTCCCTGCAGGAACGCATGTTCGCGTATGTACAAGGGTGCGTATTTGTCGCAAATGACCGCGGGGACCGCCCTCTTTCGGCGACCTAATGTCCTCCACCCCAAAATTTGGGCTCAGGACGTTGGCTGGAACACGCTCTACGAATTTCGTGACAGACAGAGATTCACACACACACACACAGACAAACGTAAACAACCCTTAGCCCGTTATTATAAGTTATGATAGCACTTCTGACGAATTGCTGACATATTGGGGTATTTGATTGAGTGAAAGAAAAGTAAAGCCTGTAGACTTCGTCATCGCGGGCTACTATTCCTCGTGCAATATGCTCTAGCAGTGTCGAAAAGATCAATTTTGCAAAGGTGGAGCCGCATCAGCGGGATTCTTCGTCTCCGCTGAGCCAACTAGTATAGTTACTCGGCACTTTACTGGCTTTCTGATAAGATGTTCTTGAGAGCGAAAATGAGACCACTTCCTGAAACCAGGAAAGGCGTTCATCGCATTTTGCATAGGCGATTCGCCACACGCAGAAACAGCACGTCTTTGCGAACGCATCGGATTCTCAGTCAAGCGCACTTTCATCCCTCATACCGTCTGCGATTTCTTCCAGGCTATAACTGAATCGGACGCAAGAATGCCCAGTCTTTGCTTGGATTGACTCACTATACATATGATCAATAGCCGCAGCTAGTGGACTGTGATGTGGAGCCGTTCCCCGCAACTCACCTATTTTCGGGCATATCTACCTGAAATTTACAAAAAAAACGGCGTAAACATACCATTAGTGGATGCCGGTGTTGTAGTGGCGAGGGTGGTTTCCTCCATGAAGACTGGCAGGGTAATGAACCACTCCGCACCCGACCCCCCGATATGAATGAACACGAGCTTTGTTGCGTCGGCGGCTCAACCACCTTGACAAGTTCGCACATGTCAAGCATGAATTTCGGCTTCATTGTTTCATGTGCAAGATGTTTTGGGGTTACAGATCTGTCTTCAGAGCTTTCTGATTTTGGTAAATGCTTACTGCATTATGTTTGGGTTTCTGAAACTGCTTTAATTCCCTAACATAAGCTATAGAATGTGAAAATTCATTTGAGCTCCTGCTGCCGAAATTTCTTAACACATTCACGACAAGGCCGATTTTTCGATTACTGCCATTTCGGACAGGAGCCTTTTTTGCTGTGCCTAACTTACGACCCACCGGTGGGTCGTATTGTCGTGAATGTGTTAACATACTGTCAAATCCAAGAGGTGCACTTTCTTGACTTGAATCATTCAACGTGGTTGTTATCCCTCGAATAAACTTTACAAGATGGCTAGAATCCTATCATTTAAGAAAGGTAAATACAGAGGAAGCAAACCGCCGCTTACCCAAGCACAGCTATTCGGACCGCCCAGATGGCGAGGGGACCAGTCGGACTATCGGCTTCTCAAATAAATTTCCAAAATTCCTAAAAGATGCTGCTTTCATCCCTTCCCTAATTTTTGTCTGCAAGGCATACTGACGCTACTTGTTACAAGGAAAAGTGTTTGTGATCCGTCAGAGTTTACCGATGTTACCAGTGTTACTCGTGTTACTAATGTTGTTACTCGTGTTACTCGTGTTACCAGTGTTTCCTGTGTTACCCTGTTACCAGTGTTACTCCTTTTACTCGTGTTACTGGTATTACTCGTGTTACTCACCAGTCAACGAGAATGCGTTCTAGAACGAAATTGTATTTTATTTATGGTCATTTCCCAACTCAACAGCAATAAAAGCGGTAACACTGGTAACACTAGTAACATTGGTAAACTCTGACGGATCCCTTTCACATGGCCGAAATCGCGATGCATGACCTGAAAGTCGTCGCTGTCCACACTCACCTACCCTGCTCTACGGCGAAAATATGTTCCGAATGCGGCTGTGATTTCTGACTTGTCTCTGCTCCGTATATCCGCCTTCTTGTCATCACTTTTAGCACGTATCATCTGTTCCAATTTGCACGCAGTAGAAGCTATTATCATGGTGATTTGTGCACGGAGAGCAATATAGATATTTTTTTGAATTTATATGTGGTGATATTGCGGTGATAATCGTATGGTCAACCAATATTCAAGCTAGAACTGCTCGTTTTTTGCTCCAGTTCACTTCAAATCTTACCACAGAGTGATCAGACAAAATGTCAATATGAACTGCGAGAGGTACTGTACTAAAATAGTTCCAGGGAAATCCCTGCTTGCAGGCCCATGGGCCGTCGTGTGAGTAATGATTGAAGAGTCTTAGGCTGCGTTCATACTGGTCCGAAGTTCGGGAAAAGTTCCAGCACAGCGCTCGAAATGGGCGCCGTGGTGGAACTGTTCCCGGATACCCGGATCAGTATGAACACAGCCTTAATCAAGCCACTCTCAAGCACTAGCTCATATGCTCTAATCGTGGCCAAGAAAACCAACTCGGACTCTCCCTTGTGCAAATCACTAATCGAAAATTGTGACGAAATAGTCGGCCGTAAATGAGTTATTTGTAATGTCACCTGAGCAAAGGCCTAGTTGACTACCTAGTTGACTAGGTACTGCACTCCACTAGACCGAAACCGCTTGCAAAGAAAATGCATACATATCTGTCCTTGTCCGGGACTTAAGTGTACCATGAAGATGGTACGGTCAAATCCGGACAAGACGAATATATATGTTGTCCCGAGGCCATGTTTGGACTATCTGTCTCGCCAGTTCTTTTATCTTTCAACAAAATCTCCTATCTTTTCCGATGTCTTACAGCTTTCTTCTAATCCGTACAACTTCATGACTACGCTTCAGCCAGGAATTCGATGGGATTCAACCAAATACGAACTCGATGACTTCGACTTCAATGAACTTACGGGGATGTTCTCACAGCTGCGTGGTGGTTGTGGGTCCAATTTTAACTCGTGTGTCCTTTCTTCGTATTTACTATCTCTGCCCCTTTTGAGTTTCATCGTACACATTTCCAGCTACTTCGGATTGATGAAAAAGTTTGTGATGCTTACTATGACTAATTACGAGTTGGATGCTCAAGCCAAGAAATTTCTTTCCGCTGAACTTTTACCCGTTCATGAGAGGTTCGTCTACAGAATGATCCAAATATGTGACCTGGTTAGTGTCTACACAGTCACTCTTATCCATTTATATTTTGAACCTTTCGGTATGTTTGAGGCTGGGTTAGTGTCAAGGAGATTGGGAACAGTGAGGCAGTGTAATCCGTTGTTATAAACGTTTTAAGAGAGCTTACGCTTATATCTAGCTGCTCAATGGCAGTGTCCAGGCAAATGTGCTCTCATAATTTTTTTAGTTAAAACTGGGGAGGGTATTACCACCCACCTCAGTTTTGATAGAGAAATTCATGTGCCCAGATTTGCCAAAAACTGTGTTTGACTTCGCCATCCTCGGCTCTTGGGATCAAAACCTAGTTTATTACAATTTTCGCGCCTATTCGGCATTATTTTGTAGTCGGGTAAATTTTCAGCTCAGGGTGTGCTTGCAGTGCCGAGAAAATGTGGTAAAATTCGTGCGAGGAAAAGTTGCTGCGCCTGTGACGCCGGCCACTTGCGCGCGCAAAATGCCGGCATTACTGGCTGGCTATTTACTCACGCGCAAAATTTTCTCATCATCGCAGGCAAATTATTCAAGCGGAATATCTACTCGACTGTATGTCGCCTCACTAGCGCGGTACGATGAAAATGAGGCACAATACTAGTTCTGAGTGCAAAACAGCTTTTGAAACCTTGTCGTTCATTGTGTCTTCTTTACAGTCACATCTAAGTTATACATGTAGATTTACAAATCATTTCAGCCTGTAAAAACGAGATCACTGGACGATATTCTCAGCGGTAAAGAGGATTCCAGAGTAAGGTATTCTTTTCGCTAGGACGGTGTAGTTACTTCTGTTTTCCAGGAAAGACTTTTTCTACCTCATGTTTCAACACTCAATGCTATGGCTATATTATATAGTCTCGCTTATGGTTGGAAAGCCCCTGATAAGAAATTCGGTGAACTGGTGGCAAACTCTGTGCATGTAAGCGATAAAGCATAATATAATTTTTCTTTGTTCATTTGAATGCATTCAGACGCTGTTGAGGGATCGCATTGATGCAGCTTTACATGTAAGAAAAGTCCCATTGACGAATGAGATTGGTATACATGCCAAGTACCAGGGCACATCCACTGATGAAGGGTGAGGCTTCACCTAGTAAGCCAATATTGATATGTCAATGCGTCCAAAGAGGTTGTCACTTTCAGGGGACAATCGAAGAGCTCAGATGACATTTTATATGCGTCCGATTTTTTGAAGTCATTCTCGGTAAGTTGTTTCAGCATTGTCACGGTTACATATTCGATCTTTTATAGAACAAGAGTCATTTTCTTGGTTATGAAAGCGATAAGCTTCTTCGGTTTCGATGTCATGCCAATCTCTACAAGCGATTGAAGTCAGCGGTGCCCGAAGAAGAATGGGATGTCGCACTTGAAAAGATGATTTTAGATGCTACTAACAAACGCCAAAATGCAGTGCCCAGGGATGGTCAGGGTTCATCAACTGATCCTAATAAAACGGATCCAGAGCTGACGCTTGGGGGTGCAGAGTCGAAAGCTTTCAAGAGAAATTTGAGCTCTGACAATATTCCCAAAGCAAAGCGAAAATGTGTTGAGGATCCAACTTCGAGTGTAAATAACCCGGAGAATCTAGATGGCACAGAAGACTCTGAAACATTAACTGGATAGTGCTTCATATATGCTTTCATTGCATTACTTGCCTTGCAAATTTCGAAATCTGAACTTTCTTCACTTGTCATGTGATATGTACTCTATATCTCGGTACAACACTTACTTTTTGAATGCTGGTGATAAATAGAGTGATAAATTTATTTCATCGCAATCACACCTTCTCATATAGGCGTGTTATATTACTCAGGGTCACGATTCTAGCAGAGAAGTCAAATGATTATAAGTAGCACAATTCATGGACGTTTTTCGAATAATCTAGGCAATGGCAATTCAAATCATTCTAAGAAACTATGAAATCTGCAGAACTTGTGTCAAATTCTGCCTTCGAGAAATGGTTACCATAATCGGTAACTGGAATGGCTTAAAATCACCAATGATTTTTATACATAGGACGATAACTAATAAGTCAAATAGCGGAAATAACAAAACGAAAAAAAAACTGACATCACAGATAGAAATTTTCTCCAAACAATGACATTCGAGGAGCGAACAGCATATGTATCGCAACGCGTTACTCTACACTATGAGAAGAAACGAGCGTTAGCATTCGAAGAAATACCCAGTGGGCGAGAGTTTATACAGTAGATCGGTACCTTTTCATCACTCCCTGACATTGATCACGATCTGCTTATGTTTGGGATCATCAAATCGATCCATAGTTTGGACGGATTGCAACATCAAATAGCCGAACATCAAACCGCCAAGCATGACGAGGATACTGATGATTCCTAAAAAAGAATAATTTCAATATTTGAGAAGCGTTGGTGACCACACTACTTACCCATCCAGGAACCCACTGAAAACGTTCCAACACAGTCTTCGACTTGTCTGCTGAAGTACATTTGGCTCGTCTTCTTGTCGGGTGAAACACCAAATGGTTGGACCTACAAGACAACAGAAACCATTACCAAAACACTTTCTCCTTACTTTACCTCTGTGTTGTGGAGCGATATACCGATGAGCACGTCGTCTTGATTGGTTTTGAAGAAAGCCGCTTGTGAGTCACCGCAACCCAAAGCAAAACCTGCCACACTTTGGAAACCAACATTATTCACCGATGGCCGGGAAATTACTTTAGTATCGGCTTTTGCAGACTGAAAGTGCTGTATATAGACTGATAAAATAAGGAATCAAAAGAAAGCGTACTCCTGAAATGAAGCCTTTGCCATTGTCTTGAACAGCCACGTTATTTGCGACAACATCAGTTAACATCCAAAACCCGCCGCTAGTTCCATTGAATACCAGTCTGAATGAGTAATCATACTTCAGGTGAAATAGGTAAATCTTCATATGGGACAATTTATGAGGAAATCTCAAAAGGAGAGCAGTATTCAAAAATCAGCCTACTTGAACTCTATGGGGCTTCCACTGCTAATCTTGACTTTCTCAGCGTTATCCGTGACATCCCCCTTCAACTTCAGTCGTACAGTGAACCTATGACATGTTTGATGAGAGAATAAGCAATACAGATATTCGTGCATCTGATATGATAATACTAACTCAAAGGGTCCAGCTGTGGAATTGACACAGTTGACATCCCCAGCAGCATAACTCCTACAACATCGTGAGTCATAAAAAGTAAAATGCGTGGATAATACTGACTTACCAAGATGTGGTATTCGTCAGCGACCTCACAGGTATTGAGACAAATTCCTTTTTAGCATTCCGCACGACGATGTTTATTCCCTCAGAATAGAGCATGCAGGAGCCAAGTTTAGACCTAAATGACATTTTCAGAATAACAAAATTGCTTAAGCGTAGATCGAGTATCAGAACTCGCTTGCTGCATTGAAAAAGCTCAAAAACTACCAGAAAATCAAGATTAGATATAGCTGTTGGAAACAAAACTCACGCGTCAGGCCTGACATCTGGATATTCCGTCCTGTTGTATGGGGGCAAGTTTACGGGCATGTCAATTTCTGGTCCTATAACGTTGAAAATTTTTTAAAATTACTTACTTGAAATTATGAAGAACTAAAAAATGCCCAGGACAACGACTAAATTGTTTGGTAATTCACCGATAAATTCACGAATTCACAAGCACTACTGCGGCAACAATATGATAAAAAAAATCTCAACAGTGACTGCGAGCTTTACTTGAATTCTCATCGCACGAAGCCATTGACAAGTGCTTTCTTTCACAGAAAGGTTGTACCTACCGTTCGCTGCGGAAGGTGATCCAGTCGTTTCATCCATTTCAGATGTGATCACACGCTTCGTTCGTGCCTAAAATTAGAAGAACTTCAACTGAATTTTATACAACGAAAAAGCACCTTGTCAGTAGCAACAGCATCTGTTGCTGTGATGACAGCGGTATAACTGTCCCCAAGTCCAGACAAAACAGTTTTAGCCAATGACTGCATGCTAGTCCATTCTTCACCAGCTACGACGTAAGTAGCATTGCCTTTCGTGAATTCTTCAGCAGATGTGACTTTCACTGCGTTGAGGACCTTACATAACATATACAGATTAACAGCTGAGATATGAATTCGAAAAGAAAAACCTTACAAGAACGAAGTCCTCAAGGTATCGGCTGACGTGATATTTCTTTGACTTTACAGTTGCTGGTAGTCCTCTCAGAGTCTTGTCGACTGAGTATGCGCGTGCTTCCCGTGAGAACTGTCCTGAAAGCAGTAGATTCAAAATAAAAACGCCATGAATATGTAAAGTTTCAATCAAGTATACATAACAAACGGAGATAACTTTAGATTAAGAGGACCAAAGTGTTGAAAAAAGTAAAAAATATCAAAACAACTAGGCACTAAAATACCTGATCAAAATTCGTAATCAACATTTATGCTAACATCTATGCTCTGGAAGTGCGAGTGCACAAGCAAAAGAAAAAAGTATTGACTCACCCAAAGTGAAATCAGGATTAACAATGAAAACAAGAGGTGATTCTGGTGAAGCGGTTGACAACAAGTTTTCTATGCTCGGGTAGTCATCCCTAAAAACACAAAAGTACAGGGTGTCCCAAAAGTAAGTACACACTTTTCAATCGTCAATTCTCTCTTCCCAATGGGTCTTTTTTTTTTGCCAGACAAGCACCATTTTGTAGAGCGAGGTTAAACTTAGATTTACAGTATTGATCGAATTACCGATCGCTCTTCGTCACTGTAGGATTATTGTAAGAACTTCGACAAGAATTTTAGGCCATTGGAAGCCATATTCTGCCTCGGGGCAAAACCAAACAAGCCAAAAACTCCTATACTATGGTAGAGCCGCTAATTTCGAATATGGTTCCACTTTGCTGTGATGCTTCTTTCCAAAGTTCTACATGTAAACCATGATAACCAAATTCCCAGTATTTTTCAAGCATGTGATTACACTGTCAAAAAAGCTGAAACTACTCGTAATTTTGTAGTGGAATTAGCGTGCGCGAAAACGCTAGTACACGATTTTTCAGATTTTTTGAAAAAATTTTGTCAGGTGGAATATTTACAATGGTTCCACGTGCTGGAAGTTCTTACCGTAATGCTACAGTAACGAAGAGCGATCGGTGATTCACTGATACTGTAAACCTAAGTTGAAGCCTCCTCTAGAGAATGGTCCTTAACTGGCAAAAAAAGACCCACTGGGAAGGAAGATATTGACGATTGAAAAGTGTGTACTTACTTTTGGGATACCCTGTGGAAAAAAAAGAATGTTCAAATCATGGACATGAGAATAAGTCTTAGCTCCAATGAGTAGATAATAAACTGTGAAGATAAGCAGAAGCAATTCAAGACGAAACAAACAAACGAACGAAACTTACTCAATTTTCTGTTCGCTTGAGAAAATCACAGCATCGTACGCTGTAATCGTTTTCACAGCCAGCAAGACCGTGATGAGTACCCGCATACTGAAATCAGAAACGACAGATGGAGCAAAACTTCCTAATATCAAAGCTAGAGCAGTCATGAACGATATTGGCGGGAGCTCCTCAGAAACAGCATACAAATCAAGCATGAACTTCTGCATTTATTTACATTCGTATAAACAAAACGAACACTAGAAACTATTACAAAGCATACAACAGGATGAGGTAAAAGACCAAACGATGATCAATAACCCTGCTCTAACCCTCATTTTCCGATAGCTCCGCCCCTAGTGGCCGACGGGCGAAAGACCGATGCAAGCGTTGCGGGACCCACAGAAAGAGAGACGGAAAAGATGCAGATATTCATGGACTGGCGAGACTGAAGAAGAGTTGTTAGCAACAATATGGTTTGTGTGACTTGTTGAAAGCGAATTTGCGTTATTGAGCAACTCTCATTGCACTTGCCAGCGAAGTTAGTTGTTACGCGAATACTACCATTGACTTGTTCCATCGAAGGCCTCGGACAGAGTTCACGCGATTTGATCGTCGCGATTTAATCGCTACAAGACAACTGTCACGAGTTCATTGCATGCCGATCAGCTTGCATTTCGGTTGTGATACTTTTCCAGCTCGAAATTCTTGAATGTAAAATGAAAACGAATGAAAATCGTGGCGATTACGTCGCGACGATCAAATCGCGTAAACTCTGTCCGAGGCCGAAGGCGACTATCGAATAAATAAACGGGAGGATAGCGTAGTTCCAGTAACATCAGTTTGAGTGGTAAACGAGTAGTAATGCTCAGTAGTGCGCAAACCTATCATGAGAGTAAAGTATGCATTTAAAACAGGAAGCTGGAACAAGTAGGATTCTAAAACGAAGCCCTCTTCGTTTTCGAAAAGTTCTAACGAAGTTCTCTCTGACCTCTTCCCCCTCGCCCCCCCCCCCTCTCTCTCAACACTTCGCACTTGTCTTTTGTTTGTGTTGTCTCTGAACCCAGGTTAGAAGGTACAAGGCTTCAACCCCTCCCCTTTACCTTGCGGTAACCCCCCCCCCCTTTACCGTTTATAAATAGAATTTTTTTGTCACTTTTCGCACCACGCGCTGACGCGTTCTGCTCCATGGTCGAAGCCTGAACTACCTATACAGTCTGCTCCAATCGGGATCAGGCCGAACCGTCGGAGTAAATTTGCGCGCTCGCAGCGCTAGCGGTCTGCGCTGCATATGCGCGCTGTCGGAAAGAGCAAAGGGATTGCAGAGAGAGCAGAGAAGCAGGCTGTGGGCGTGACCGCGAAACCCTAGCGACGCGAACTCCCGCCATGACAATTTTGGGATACTGTCCAGCACTTGTTCCCCCACTTTCCCCATATCTCCGTTACTCACTTCCAATTCTTTCCGCCTTTTCTCGTCACCCTATCCTCCTCCTCCTCCCTTCCCTCCCCTGAAAATGTTAACAGGTATGCATCACAAGAACGGACGTAAAAGAAAAGGGAAACTAGAAATGCAAGCATAACCAAGACCAAACTGATTGCTTAGGGGTGCGCCTTGAGATCGGAGCAGATTGCGCCGGCAATCAATTTTTTAGATCTATATGTAAGTTCAGAGGGCAAATTATGAAACGCTTTTTTGCTCGTATGAAAACTTTCACAGTGGCGGTACAGTACAAGCAAGAAGTATGAAAAATTCTATGAGCAAAGAGTCGGTTCCAGCTAATTTGGAAAAATGTTCGGCTTTCGTTCACATAAGTTTTCATAAATATTCGAGCCATAGTTCGACCTCATGCCACACACCAAATTCGTCTGGCACGACAGTGGAACAAAATGGGCTTGCCTAATGTATTAGATTGAACGAAAGTTTCCAGACAGCCTTGGAAATTTCTTTTTCAGCCTCATTTTTTTCGCACTCTGTTGATTCTTGACGACAATTATTTTATACGACTCCCTAGAAGAAAGCCTAAGCTTTCAAAACTCGCATCCAATTTCTATCGATGTCAATCCGTATTTGACCTAAACACTAAAATAGAAGTCTGTGCAACGATGAAAATTTTACAATTTTTCTTTTTGTCGCCATTTTTTTCACAGTAAGCAAAGAAAACCACCTGAGATAGTCATTCTGAATAAGGATGCTTTCCACTTCAATACTGCAGCTGTGCTCCGATTTTACAATACGCGCACGAAAATTACAAGCTTTCAAACTTTTCCGTAGCGTTTTCGCAGTTACGTCGATTTTGTGATTATCGTCACGCCTCGTTGATGGGCCCAAAAGATGTGCAAGACCCCAACAAAATTTGCAGCAATCAAAGATTTAATTCATTTGTGGAAAAAGGAGGACTTCGAACTTATTTATTCAAAAGATGGGGCATTTTCAGCGTGCAAAAATGGCCGATTTTTCAATTTTTTCGAGAAAAATTTTTTTCTGGCGATTGTTTTTGCAGCAAAGTTTGTAGCTCTCAAAAATGACCTGCCTGCTTGAAGTTACAGCAGTAAAAAACTTCTACTACAAGTGCCCGGGAACTTTCGTTACAACCTAATAGAATTCTTTGTTTAGGGTGTATGGTGATGCTTACACCATCCGAGGATTTGCAGCCGCTAGGGGAGAAGAAGATGGTTTTTGGGTAAAGCAAAGTATCTCTATTTTGCTGCAACCGGTGGTGAGCCAGTTTTAGTCCCAACAGCAAAGTGAGATGGAAGCAAACCCATCTTTGAAATTCTCACTTCTGATGCTAGCGACTACATAGAGTTTAATCTTTCCCATCAAAGCTAAAGTACCGTTTAACGTTAAAATTTTAATTGTTCCATTGCTTCTTGTTTAATTCGTTATTCGCGAGCTTTTCGAGCTACCATTGTTTTCAGAAAGTTAAAATGGATGCGCATTGGGGGGGGGGGGGGCGGGGAGGGGAAGAGCCCCAAGTGGAGAGGCTCGTGGGAGGGGGGGGGGAACTAGCCAGGAGAGAACCAGACTTCCCTTCCCTCAATCATTGACCGAGAACCAAAGCTGCATACCCTCGATATTCTGAGGATAGTGCCGGAAAAGTGGTTGTTTTAAACACTGTTTCTCTATAAAAAGTGAGGGCTGTGTAATATAGAGGAAAAAAAGATAAGCTGAATAGCAGAAGCAATAGAAACTCTGAATACCGAGTATAAATACGCTACATTGACTTGAGAATTTTTGGCGGTATCTCGAGTCGCACGTTTCCACTTCCCGCCGGTTTGTTCAAAAGTAAGCTGATTCCTTTTCAGCAATTGTGTTAGAAGCACTGACATTTCGGAAGTTTTGATTGTCAGGAAGAACATGAACAGAAAAATTATTAGCTATAAAAACGAAAAGTTTTATTTTGCCAAAGTCAAATAGTCGAAACACAAAGACTTATTTTTGATGCGTCTTCTGAAATTTCACTCCGAATTTCGTTTCTGTTCCCGACGATGTCGTGAGCATCTGCTTATCGTGCTGAGCAAGAAACCACTGAACCGAAGACAACGGCCACGTACTCACTCCATAGAAGACTGTGAAGAAAAACGCATTTTTTCCTACTTTTTACCAAAAATATTAGGTTGTCCGGAAAATAATGTCGCTTTTTATTTTAACATGCAAAATCGTGGCAGAGTGGGCACGAAAGTAAGTAGATGGGGTACCAACCGACAAAACAAGCTCTACAAAATGAAGCTCGAGCCTTTGCGCCAGGTTTGATTTGCGTGAAGTTTGGAGCCAAATTTCACAAGGCACTAAAGATCTAAAAAAACGAAGAAAATCGTATCTCTGTTCACAAAAGTCCTGGGAGCCTAACTTGCTCACGCGTGGACTCACTATACGAGACACACGTATGCACATTTTCGCAGTTTTTCCATGGCTAAAAATTGAGAAAACGAAATTCGGCATATTTTTGCCAAAACAATCATGAGCTTCTCTCATATGGGTGGTTCTGTAGCATGAACCTTTAGGAGTATAACCATGGATTTTCAGCTCTAGATAAGCGCTAGTTTTCGAGAAAAATCAAATTGTTTGCAAAAAACCAGGAAAACGCGACATATTCGCACTTTTGACCTATTTTTATTTCTCGTACTGTAACCAAGGAAAAATACCACAAACTATACTGGTGAATGTTTAGTGTTGAGAGTACATGCCTGTGCAAATTGGAGATCCATAAGACGTCTATGAACCGAGATACGTTTTTTCGGATATCTAAAATTTTTTAAATTTTGGATTCGAACTTCAGGTGGAGCACGATTTCCGCGTAGGTTTGTAAACTTTCTTGCAGAGCTTGCTTTGCTGATACCCTATTCGCCATTTTTTATGGTCATTCTGTCGCGGTAGGATGCCATGCGACATTATTCTTCGGACAACCTAATATAAGGCATAAAAACCCTCGTGAGAGAAAATTCGAAGTAAAACGAGAGGTTTTCGAAAACACTTGCCACATTTCTCATTTAAAACGGAGAATGGGATGGCGACGTTGTCAGCGTGAAATACAGATCAAGTAGAACATGATATAGCTGCTAGGACTGGTTTCAAAATGACGAAGAAATGAGTACCACAGCTAAAGGCTATTGCATGACGAAGGCGCAGAAGCAGTATTAGTTGAGCGGGCGCGAACGCGGCGCTGCGTTTCTTTACCGTTGTAAATCCTGCGTCTCATGCGCTCTGCGGATAATAGAGCCGCTTCGCGTCCAAAGATGTTGCGCCTTCGTCATGCAGCAGCCTATAAGTGCCCCGTGCTGCGCTTTTAGACCCCGGACAGACTTCACGCGATTTGATCGTCGGGACTGAATCGCGACGAGACAACTGTTACAACATTATTCCATGCCGATCAACTTGCGTTTCGGTTGTGTTACTTTTCCAGTCCGAAATTTTTGAATGTGAAATGAAATTGAATGGAAATGTCGGCGATTGAGTCGCGACGATAAAATCGCGTGAAGTCTGTCCGGGGCTTAGTGTGGCGAGAGAGCGCGCAACACGTGGAGGCACACCTTCAATAGTCTAGAGACAGGAAGTCAAAAGTATTATTTGAATATTTGCTCCTAATAAAAGTGAAAGTTGTTTATAGAAAATCAGAGAAGAAAGACGCAAAACAGACAGCAAAGGCAGAAAGCCTTTAACTAAGAAGAACGCTGCAATGGA